AGACATTTGGATGGAATCCATCCATTGGGGCTTCAGCCGCAACGTTTCAAAAGGTTAGGGGCGATGACTGTAACGAATGAAATATAAGGAGAAAGTCTTCAACTATTTGAAAAGTTTGAGACCCCTGCTGCAATTATCCAAATTTTTAATTATAAAGTAATATTTTTTATTATACATAATTGTTTTTAGCTAATATTTTTTTTATTTTATTTACAAGCTGTTTTGAACAAAATATGTGGATTGAAAATAATTATTTTATAGAAGGTAAAATTAGAAGATATTATGAGAAACGGCAAAAATTCATCGATTTGGTGGGTTTAGAAAAATAGTCAAAATTATACAACACTATTTTTGTATTATTTTTAAACCATCGAAAATAGATATTTAAAAAAATTGGCAGGCACTGATTTTTCCAACCTCTAAATATCATCCAAAATCGATGAAAAGAAAAATCCCAAACAGATCGGCTCTATGTCTGCCACCACCCCAACCCCACCCCCACCGCCAACCCAACTCCTTACACACCATCTTTGTCATTGCTCATATAAACAAAGCATGCATGGTTGTCCCCTCACTCCCTCACCACACCGACAACGTAAACTGCCCTGCATTAGCCTCCACCAATCCAGATTTGCTTCAGTAGGCTCCGCTTCGTTGTCCTTTTTGGGTTAATTTTATCAGTGTATCGTTGAAGTTCACAATAAATTTCACGTTGACCACCGAACTTTAAATTGTTTCATTTATATTAATGTATTTTCCACACATCAGTTTGACGTCCATTTTTCAAGTTCAATGATGTAACACTAAACTTTTAAATTGCTTCATGTACATCACTAAACTTTTAATAATAATATTACACCACCCTCACATAATGTCAAAAACACACGGGGGAGGCCATTGACATTAATATCTAGAAGAGTGGTTCCGTGTTATCGGAAGAACATGCTATGGCACTAGTTCGGGACATTTCGGAGCAAGAGATCAAAGATGATTTCACGGGAACAGTTAAAGAATTCTTTAATTCTAGTTCACTTATTAAGCAAGCGAATCACACAATTATTGCTTTAGTACCTAAGGCAAATCACTTAACTACCATGGGAGATTATAGGCCTATCGCATGTTGCAATGTGTTTTACAAAGTTATCCCAAAGATCTTTGCCTCTCGATTAGGCCCTTTACTTGGTACAATTATTAATCAAGCACAAGGCACATTTGTGGAAGGTAGAAGTATGACGGAGAATATTCATCTTGCCCAAGAGCTTCTAAGGCGAAACAACCATAAAAGAGTTACTCCTAGATGCCTTCTCAAAATAGATTTAAGGAAGGTATAGGATTCGGTTAATTGGGATTTTTTAAAATGTGCTTGAAGGGCTTGAATTTCCAACAAAATTCATTGGATGTGTGATGGAATGTATCTCTATGCCTACAAACTCCATTGCGCGAAACGGTAGCCTTTACGGATTCATAAAGGGAATGAAGGGGCTTCGTCAAGGTGATCCTTTATCCCCGTTTTTGTTTGTTATATGCCTTGAATATTTCTCAAGAATGTTGAGGGGAGCTACCGAGAATAGTGAGTTCAATTTTCATCATAAATGTGGCCAATTAAAGATAACTCACTTAGCATTTGCAGATGATTTGATGTTATTTCGGTTGGTATCTTGATGGATTGTTTATCCACCTTTGGAGACATGTCGGAACTAAGGACGAGTGTGAACAAGTCTAACTTGTATACAACGGGAGTTTATGGGCAAAAGTTGGAGGATATTCGTCAATTAACCAATATGTCCAATGGATCTATGCCATTTGTTATTTGAGAATACTACTTGCTGCGTAAAGATTGAAAATTAGCTCTTAAGATTCCTTTATCAACAAAATCTCGGCCTATATTGGAGCATGGTCTAAGGCCTCTTTGTCTTATGTGGGGAGGGTGAAAATAGAGGGAGTCGTTTTTTAAGGTGTTGAATGTCTTTGGCTCTCCATTTTAAATATTCCGGTCACATTTGTATCAAAGGTTATTAGTCTTCGTCGGAACTTCCTTTGGGGTTCTGAAAAATCATTGGTTGCTTGAAGTAATATTTGCTTACCGAAACCTAGGGAGAACTTTGGATTTAGCTCCGCACTTCTTGTCAAAACACTTTGGAACATACATAGTAAGGACACTCTTCGGTAAAGTGGGTAAATCAAATTTTTCTTCGAGGAATGGACATTTGGGATTAAAAGGATGAGGGAATGTCTTGGCAAAGCAAAGTCGAGCGAATTACTCCTGCTAACACCGTTTACCATTTATGGATGACACGTAACATGAAGATTTTTGAAAATATGAGACACGAGTTGATAGCATTGCAAGACGAATTAGAACACATGTATACAAAAGTTTATAGCATTGCAAGATGAATTAAAATACACATATACAAAGCTATATTTTCTTTTTATCTGTATGTTTTAATTCATTTTGAGTCTTTGGCATAGGGTTATTAGATCTTTTCGTTTGTACATCATTTCTTTTTGTTTGCCGGGTATGCCAAGTGTATTTGTATGCATCACATGATTTTGTTCGCCCGAATATGTTCCGTATACTTGTATATAAGTTTTAATCAATATAATTTTACATTTATGGATAAAAAAAAAACATGGGCAATTTTTTATAAATTAGACAGTTGCTTAATGCAGTGATGTAATTGAAATGTTATTTTAGTGTAAAATTCAGTGGTCATCTGTAAAACTAGCCCTATGCTTTTTGCTACAACTAAAAATAACAAATCTACAGACTCAACAACATTCACCCTGGACTGAATTTTCATACAACTACGGATTACCGAGTTTCAAGAAGCGCGGCGGGACCGAGGACTGGTTTAGGCATCCCGATCATCTGACTCGTGTTGGCTCATCTCCCACAAAAATAGAGTACATTTGGCAATTTCTAGAGCGCAACCAACAGTAAAAATGTTCATTTTACCATCTATAAAACACACTATGAAGTTTAGAGCAGAGCTTCAACAGGAAAAAAAATTAGTTTTTGCAACATGATGGTTTCATAAACATTTAAATTTGTTTTATGTTTTTTTCTCGTGGTACTGGAATTACAGTGAAACCCATGACATCAATTGCAGAGAGTCATCTTGACATATCCAACAAAATGGGGCAGAAGAAGATCAAAAGAACCGTTTCTTCTCTCTAGATTGGCAATTGAAAGAGAGAAGTTCTCAACGGTTTCAGTTTTCATGAAATTGAGTTCATTTTTTTTTTTATAACCGTGGATGTCCGAGCCAACTTGCGCGCACCTCGACTAATACCACGAGACCCTGAAGTTTACGGTCGGATACTCACCTCAATGGCCCTGAAAGGTCTCGAACTGGTGACCATTGAGGAGCAAATCCAAGGCCTGACCAACTAAACAACCCCTCAAGGTTAGTTTTCATGAAATTGAGATCATAACTTATCACATCATTCCCAACGAGAAAAGATCAAGCCAGTACAAAGAAATATCTAGTAGGAAGAAATAAACACAGATCCAGATAATAGATTGACATATAAAAGAAGCAACAGCATTACTAAGTTAAGTACAAAGCAGGCAATTCTGGTCCAATTTTGGTTTCACAAATCACAATGCCCTCTGAGCAAATTGATGTTATGACATCAATGAATAAAGAAAAGAACCCAACATAGTATTTCACTACACAATAATCATATGGAATGTAGAATAGTGGACCTCAGCCTAGCAAAAATGACAAACATACAATTACTAACCAGCCAGTTGGAGTTTTGAGATATGTGATCTATAGAAAAATAACTTTGATGAATACTTGCAATGGAATCCACATGTTTTAGTGTACAATAAAGTTCATATAATGATGATGGTGAATTAAAATTTTAATCGAGCACATAATCAAGTGAAGACGAAATAAGAAAGATTGCAGCTTGATCTTCTGTTCCATAAGGTCAACTTCTAATGTTCATTCACCCCCTCAAACAAGCACGGCAATTTAAATTATGAAGAATAAAATAAGGGGTGAAAGACGAAACATGAAATGTAGCCTATCCAATTAAAGCAAATTACTAACCACAAACTGTGCACCTCATAGAAACTATAACAAGTTCAAACATAAAAAGCACATTCACAACATAAAGCAGGTCGACAAAGAAAAGTAGAGGTTTCGTTTTAAAGATCAATGCTATCAAGTAAAATTTCATATACATGTAAATATGTGCACACAGACAATACACAAAATTCAAGAAAAATTGTTGTAATTATTGTTATCCACTAGGTGCACCATAAATCACGTATTTCACTTTCTATATTTTGGTGCCTAGAAACGGTCAAGGAAAACTAACTGATACCACATCAATAGCACAACTAGCATGATGAGTACATCAAATGTGGTAATTGGTAATTCCATTAGCGTTGTGTAGTCCATCAATAAATATAAACACTTAAATATAAACAAATAGTGATAAAGAAATTTGACATCTCTAGCAAAAATTCATTATCATCTACAAACTTTAATCTGAAACAAAGAAAACACAACCTCAATCAAATGAATTGATAAAGGACAATAAAAGAACGGGAGAGTTATTAATATTAACCCCAGAAGCCATATCTTTGAACTTTAGTTCCATCATCAGAGAAATCTATTCACTCAACGGCCTCCTTTGTCGACTACCTATGACATTATTATCATTACAATTCAGATAAAACAAATTCATTTAATCAGGAGCACCAGTTTAATAACATATATCACAAATTGTGGCACCAGAGTAATGAGCTTTAGAGATGAATCAAATAAAAATATCTCCCCCTAATTTTAATACCCCAACCCATGCCACCAACCATAGCCCAAAGGAACTTCAATATCAAGGCACTAAAGCAATAGTACAATTAGCAGCATGACAGAAAATATTCAAGCAAAAGCCAAATAAACAAGTTAGAATAACAAATCTTAGTTGAAATCCCATAATGATCCTTTCCAATAGCAACTGAACTAGTTTGAGTAACCTGATATTCAACGGCCAGCATTGAGGCCAAGAAGCATGTTGTTTCCATTGGGCAGGTACATCACATTGGGATTCTTGGACATAGTGGCTGTGTTCTCCCTTGACGCCTCAATCCTCCTTAGCTCGATCAGGCCCATTCCAGCAGCCGCAGTCGCATCAGAAATAAGCTTGGCAGACTCACTTTCTCCCTCAGCCCTAATAATTGCAGCCCTTCGCTCTTGTTCTGCCTTGGCCACCACGAATTTGGACCTCTCCGCCTCCTGCTGAGCTACCTGCTTCTGCTCCACGGCCCTGGAAAACTCCGCCCCGTAGGACAAGTGAGTAATAGCCACATCATCCAACTCAATGTTGAAATCCTTTGCCCTGCGAATCAGGCTCTCACGAACGAGTGCGGACACGTGAGGGCGCTCCGTGAGCAACTGATCCGCATTAAATTGCGCAACAACAGCTTTAAGCACTTCATTTCCGATCGAGGGGAGAACCTTCTCATCATACTCGAGACCTAGGGTTTTGAAAATTTCCGGGAGGCGATTAACCTCGGGCCGAGAGAGGACTCGGAGGGTGAGATTAACCATCTGGAGATCCTTAGTGCCGGAAACGGAGGAGAAGGTGTGGGGACGAGTACGAATATCGAAGATATACGGCTTCTGGAGCCATGGAATAAGGAAATGAGTACCTTCGCCGACAGTTTCATCGATCACACCGCGAAATCGATCGAACAGGACGGCGCGTTGGCCACCGTCTACAGTGTAGAGTGATGAATTCAGAACGGTGGCGCCCATGCCGAGGCTAAAGGCGGCGCGTGCTATGTTGTTAAGGAATGAAACCGCTGCTTGATTGCTGCCCATTATTTGAAGGTGATCGATCGCTGATCTATTCACAGAGAGAGAGAGACGAGGGTTTAATATGATGCACTGGATTCTTCTTCAAGAAATTGTTAAACCCTAACCTAATTGCTTAAAGAAGCAGCAAGCCTGGGCCTGGTATTGGGACTGGGCCTAACTTTGTGGTCCTACGTTGACAACCAAGCCTACTTATGATTTTCTGGCCCATAGAATTTGTTGGCTAGTTATAAACATTTAATTTAGAGGAAATTACATAGAAGTCGGTGTTTAAATTTGGGAAAAATTTATTTTTCCTACTTTATCTTTACCCTATTTCAAAAATAACAAAACAACTTTTACATTTCAAAAATCAAATTTTTTAACATATACATACACACATATATAAATATTTATTTATATATA